CCCCCCCCCCGCTTTCATTATTCCCCTGAGGACAACTTTCTTTATGCAAATTCTCTTTTTGGGAGGGGGATTGAATTTTCGGTAATTAAGTTCCAGACCTCTACAAAATAAAAACTATTGCGTAATTTTAGACGAGGAATATCCCCCGGCAATGAGAGTTTAATAGAAGCTACTCAGAGTGTACTTGAGAGCCATGAACAGGCCCAGCTCAACAACCCCCTGGTTCAACGACGCATTCGCACCACACCCCCTTCATCCTCTTCCAGGAGCAGCAGCTTGTTGAGGAGCAGCATAATGCCGAGTAGAAGCTCTCTTATCAGGAACCGACGTAGCTCCCAGTCCGCCAGAAGCGCCGGGACTCTGTTTTCCGCCAGCCAAGATATTGCAGATCTGGCCAGGTTTGTAAAAAAAAAATCTTGAATGTCTCCTTTCTTCATATCATTATTTTCTTTAATTTTTAAACATAAATGAACATTTTATAGATAATTTAAGTAAGACCCAAACGCAGAATTTTCAAAATTTTGTACAGTGGTGGGTGATTACATCAATACAATGAATACGACTTTTTCATTTTAGTTTTGATTCTTTACAAGCTGTTTTTGTTTACAAGTAATCAAAAAGAAGTTAAGGTGTATCCATAAATCAAAATCAAAGTTGAATGTCGTCTTCATTGTATTGCTTGGGAAGACGAACAGAAGTCATTAAATTTAAAGCAAAATTTTTTAACCGTAACCTACATTTTAAAAAAACCTTTTTCTTTTTCCGTATCTTTGTGTCAGAAATTCCGGATTTTGCACACAAACCTTGTATTTTAGCGAAGTTGGTGGACATTCTAAAGTTAATTTTTTAAATTCAAAATTGGAATAAAAATCTAAAAAAGTTCTTTTTAGGAATGATCTAAGATCTATGTCTCAAAGATTAGAAAGAATACTACGAGAACGAAGAGAGTCTATAGAACGGATTTCCAGAGCAGCGTTTACACATAGAGAGGTAAAATTTACTCATATCCCTCCCCACGCTTTACAGGAGACTGATTTAATAAAACCCGATGAATATATAGACTCCCCCACCCCCTGACCCTTGGTGTTGTATGGGTGGGGGGAGTAAACTTCATTCTCGACTTAGCAAGGTCTAGTTAACCCTATACCGGTTGGGCGATTTTTGTCTAAAATAGGTAGGGGGGGGGGGTGTTTTCAACTCCCCCCCTCTTATTTCTGTTAACATATAAACTTTTTTTTGTACATTATATATTTTGTTTCAGGAAGCTGATAGTGAGACAGATCAACGACCTCTAGACCTTTCTGTACCTTCCAGGTACTAAACTATGTACAATGTACATTGTACTGTACACTACAGTGTGCAAAAGTTAAATCTTTTAAACTTCACTAATTTGATGCATTTGAAATATGCTTTTTTTAACATTCAATAATAACTTTTTTCATTTCGTGATTTTATTTCGTAATTAGCGTGTTTGATGATGCAAATGTAATTAATTTTCTGATCAGGTAGCCTGGATCTAGGTTCACTGCCATCTTGTATTCTTGTGTCAAGTAGTCCTTCAGATAGTCTTTTAATGTAACTTTAAAAATTTCCAGGTCAGGTATAGTCTGGATCTAGGTTCACCGTCATCTAGTATTTTTTTGTCTAGTAGTCCTTCAGATAGTCTTAAAAATATAATTTAAATAATTTCTAGGTCAGGTAGTCTGGATCTAGGTTCACCACCATCTCGTATTATTGTATCTAGTAGTCCTTCAGATAGTGAGGATGAGAGATTTCTTGTAGATTCACAGGTAGCTCAATATTATATCTTGTCCCCCTCCCCCCTTTAAAGGAAGTGATCGGTTAGACATGGTAGTTAAGCTGAGAGTGTAGTATTGTAGAGAAATCAAAGAGAGAAATCAATTTTTATAATCAAAACTCCAGAACAGACATTATAGCCTATAGGAGGATTTTAAAGATTGAATTTGAGCTCCTGTTGAAAAATTATACACCGGAAAAACGTCTTTTTTCTAAAGAATACAGTATTGTAGAAACATTTTGAGTATTCTTTTAGCTCAACTACCATATCTAGCCGATCACTACATTTTAGATGATAATTTTTTTATAACTGCGTGAAGCAGTGATCATTTCATTCATCATTTATATTATACATATATATTATTTATATTTTATATTTTATATTTTATACATTTATTTATTCCCTATCTCATCATTAACCTTTTTTCATTTCAAGAGAAAAAGTACACCTTTGATATAACTTAAAAATATTTAAAACTATTAGGTCTAAATGAATTTAAATTTTTCTAAATTATCCATTCGTTATTTCACTGTTTATAAAGGTTTTTATTAGAACAAAAAATAGAGCTACTTTTTCAATTGAAGTGTTTAGTTAGATTTTTTTTTAGTTTACTGTTATCTCACCAAACTCTGAATCTATTTTAATTTATTTCAGCAGATTGAATCTGATTATTGACAATTCAAAAGTTAATTTTTCTTGATAAATTTGATCTAAATAGGGTTTTTTTTTCACACCTTTTAATTTAAGAAAACATACGTAAAAGACAAAGAAGGTGTCAAATGCTTATAGAATTTTATAAATCTTGTTTAATTTGTTAGTTTATTTTCAGACCCAGACCCGGAACTCTATTCCTGGTTTATCACGTGACTCCTGGTCCCGCAGTACTATCATGAATAGTTCCCACTCATCAACTAGGCTCGACTTATTCAACGATGAAGATTTTTTCCAGGTAAACTATATGTTTCCAGGTAAACTATATGTTTCCAGGTAAACTATATGTTTCCAGGTAAACTATATGTTTCCAGGTAAACTATATGTTTCCAGGTAAACTATATGTTTCCAGGTAAACTATATGTTTCCAGGTAAACTATATGTTTCCAGGTAAACTACATGTTTCCAGGTAAACTACATGTTTCCGGGTAAACTACATGTTTCCAGGTAAACTAAATGATTCCAGGTAAACTTCATGTTTGAAGGGAAACTACATGTTTCCAGGTAATATACATGTTTTCTGGTAAACTACATGTTTCCAGGTAAACTACATGTTTTCTGGTAAACTACATGTTTCCAGGTAAACTACATGTTTCCTATAAAACTACGTGTTTCCAGGTAAACTATATGTTATTGATTTCTTATGTTTCCTGAAGCTTTAAACCCCCCCCCCCCTCTATCTCGTTTTTAAATAAATCTGGAAAAAGTTATTTATTATTTAGCGACAGCATAGACGAATGAATCCGCTTGTTGAACCCTTGGCAAGCAGTAGTTCTGGATCAACTAGAGAATACAGAGAACCTTTAGATCCTAGAGATCTTCATGATTCTAGAGAACCTATAGATCCTAGAGATTCTAGATCTAGATCTTCTAGATCTTCACTCTTCTCTAGTGATTCAAGTCCATTCTCTAGAGGTCCTAGGAGATACCTGGACAGGTACGGATATTCAATAATATAACCTGATAAATAAAATGGTTGGTTGGTATGCCGGGACAAAATATGGCCTTATCTGAATTGGAGATTATTACTGAGTGCTGACAAATATGATAAATCTAATAAACGCTTCTTATATTTATCCAGATCCTACAGAATGTGTACACAAATATTTCTAGAATGTACATTGTACCATGTAAATAAAGTACCTTCAAGTATTTACCTAGAACCTAAAGAATGTAAATAATTATCTACTGTTTTTTTTGAATTACAGAATGTTTTATATAACTACAGAGAGAACATTGGTACAGGAAGACGCCTTTTAGACTTTAAGTGTGACTTTCAATAGTCCAATGAATATGAGACACAGCAATCGTGTATTAAATTCAAATAATAAACGATTTCATAAGTTATTAGTAAAACTATTTGCTCTGGAACAACATCATTTACGTTTAATTTTTGATTTAATGTCGTCTCCCTTTTCCACAGTTTTCTAGTTCTCACTTTAGAATCAACAAAATGCAGACAAATACTTATATAGAATCTACAGAATGCGTACAGCTGAAAGATTGCTTGAAAGAAGATTCTTTAGATCTCACGGACCTTCTACAGAAAGGTAAATTTAAAACCTTTTTTTCTTCATTTAACAGTTCAGATATGTTCACTAGCGTTGAGACCCAGCTTTGCTTAGACTTGAACAATTCCCCCACCCCATACTCTTTCCCCACTTTTTAACCCCCCCCCCCCCGTTCCTCGCCCTCATTACAACTTGTCCAATACTTACAGCTTTTAAAGATTTTAATATTCTTGATATCGATATATTAAAAATATTTTGTCTCTTGCACTTGGTGAATTGTTTTTTACTAAAACATGCAGGCTGCGTTAATGAAATTTTAAATGTGAGAAGAAAAAAAATTCAGTTTTGTCTTAATTTTTTGATAGACACATGTTGAAAAGATCTAAACATTTTTATCAAAAAGTGCCAAATGGTCCCACTCTTACTTACACCTGCTTAATTCCATATCCACTAACTTTTCCTCCATGATATAACCTTTCCTACGCTATCACCGCCCACCTAACCCATCATTCCATCAATCACTTCCCTACCCTCTTCCTCGGCCTTCATCAACTGGATCCTATCAACTAACTCGCATTCAATCAATTAAGTGTTTTTTTTTCATTAAAAGACTTACCGACCACTATTCCATTAAATGTAGGGTTGTCCTTTAATAATAACTAATTAATAACTAATTAATAATAATTAAGTATGGGGCACTAATTCTAATTATAACCTTGTAAATTTGTTAAGATTGCCTCCTCTAAGTGATCTGATATGGCGGAGGCTGCGTAGACGTATTGGAACAGATAATGAGGACGAGGAGAGAGAATATACCGAGGATAGGAGTAGGCACAGGTACAATTATATACAAGAGGTTAAGGGTATCCACTTTCTTCAAATTATTTTTCCCCTAAAGTTTTAGAAGCTTTCATGGGGTCAGCTATGAATTGGGTGAATAAAGAAAATTTTGAGTATAAAGACAGAAAGCGTCAGAAAGAGGGAATTCCCTGTAACCACTTAAAGTACAAATTTTCATTTTTCATCCTGAAAGATCATTGATGTCCCCCATGTTGTTTTTGGGAATTTTTTAGGTTTTACTTTTTATGCAAGTGGAAAGATTGCCATTTTCACAAGTTCTATAAATGGTGGCCAGTAGACTCATATTTTTGATTTTAACAGTCATAAACCATTAATCTTCTATAGTGATTCTATGTGAGAGGATAAGTATACACTTTGAATGATTCTATGTGAGAGGATTAGTGTACACTTTGAATGATTCTATATGAGAGGATCAGTATATACTAAAATAAATCTTTAATGAATTTTTACCCCCATGAGATGATGAGATTTGAGCCTCATGGTGGGGGACCTGTTAGGATCTTTAAAAATCTAAATTTAATTTAGGGAGGCAATAAGGGAAATGGTTGATCAACTCACAATTGATCATGATTCCGCTGAAGCAGAATCTGGACTAGGAGCAGGAGAAGCAGGAGCTGGTGGAGGAGGAGAAGGAGGGTCGAGCAGGACAGTTTTATATTATCCTTCAACAAACAGAATGTATCAGAGGCTCAATAGGTTAGTTAAAAACATATTTAAAATGACATCTCGGTTACAGGTAACTACTCCCCCCCCCCCCACATTCCACAAGGCTTCTTATACCTTGCGGAACTATGTGAAGTTAAAAAAATCATAAACATTTAATATTTACAGGATGCGGGATATTGCGCGCCTTGAAGAGCGGAGAGCGCATATGAGGGAGTTTCATCCAATGCATCATATGCCATCCTCGCATCTCACTCATAGGTATTAAACTTAGTTTAACAGAGAACATTGTCATCCAATGCATCATATGATGCCATCCTCGCATCTCACTCATAGGTATTAAACTTAGTTTAAAAGAGAACATTGTCATCCAATGCATCAAATGCCATCCATGCATCTCACTCATAGGTATTGAACTTAGTTTATCAGAGAACATTGTCATCTAATGCATCATGTGATGCCAAACTCCCATCTTTCCCATATGTATTAAACTTAGTTTAACAAAGAACAATGTCATCCAATGCATCAAATGCCAGACTCACATCTCACTCATAGGTATCAAACTTAGTTTAACAAAGAACATTGTCATCCAATGCATCATATGCCAGCCTCACATCTCACTCATAGGTATCAAACTTAGTTTATCAAAGAATATTGTCATCCAATGCATCATATGATACAATCCTCGCATCTTACTCAATCTCACTCATAGGTATCAAAACATTGAAAAAAAACAATTTTGGTCTTATAAGACCAGATGTTATGAATAGCGATAAATACTAGTAGATCTAGTTAAACCAATTTACTTGGATTATATGAAGTTAAAGAAAAGTGGTTTAACTCGGCTAAATCAATTTAAGTGCGTCTCTTTATTCGTTAAATCTGATTCCAATTTTTTTTATCCTAATTTTGAGAAAGAATGAAAAATATATAAACAATCGCTGAAAATTTATCTTTTAAGACCCGTTTTAAAAATATCTATTAACATAAATTTAATTTTAGAATCCAGACTTGGGATTTCTGGGGTGAAGGTATTCCTGATATATCCAGAGCAGACCATAACGTGGTCGTCAAAGAAGCTAAAATACACAATGATGCGAGCGTCGACATTTCGGAGGTACGACAAAAATCTATCAATTTTCATACAGAGAAACGGGGTTAAGATTTTATAACCAATGCTCAGCGAGAGTTTTAAACTCATCACTAAGAATATAAGCTCATTATAAAAAAATAATAATAAGTCCAGATTGTTACTTTTATGTGGCGTTAAATCTGTTTTAGATTTTTTGCTTGATTTCTTTTGTTTTTATATCGACATTCGACAACCATTTTTTACAATTACATGTCGCCGCTTTCAACAAAAAATAGAAAAAAACGGAACACACAAATGTAAAAATAGGTCAGTCAAAAAATCATCCGTATTGTTAAGTCACCTTTAAAATTTGTTAGACATATTAGAAAGAAAAACTCACTTAACAAAGTTTCCACTATTTAAAGTTTTAATAAATTTTATCATGTTTTTATCCTGATTATTTTAGGATGGCAAACTGTTGGTAACCCTGGCCCCCTGTAACCTACCAATGACAACAGTTGTAGGACTGTATAGCCTAGAGAATAAAACCCAGACAACACCAAACTTTCGCAATAGAAAAAATTCCGAGATTTGATCGTAACAACCCGATCATGTCCTGGGGACAAAAAAATCTCTTTTTTAAAAAACATTCATTTTTGATCATGAAAAGCTGTATAGGGCTATGTTGTGAATCGCTTACTCGATTAAGGGAGGGTGACTTAAAATGATGTCTACATATCACAGTTCATGTAAAAAAGATATAAATTTGTTAAGAACATTCTTTCTTGTTCCTTTATCCTAAATCTTTGAAATCACTTGATATTGCAGTCTATTAACTTAGCATGTTCTCTGGGGAAAATGTTAGAAAAGTTTTGTACTGCTGCATCAAAATCTGTAAATTGTTGTTAATTAAAATTATTATTTTAGTTTGGAGAGCTGTGCTGTTAGTGTTTCATTATCTCCAACATCTAGACATCTTATTGTTGGATTAACAACGAGAACAAGGTATCGAGTAAATATCAGTTGGGATTAAACTAAAGGGGGGCTATGTGTCTTAAGCCCCCCCCCCTCATGTATAAACCTCTGTTAACACTACACAGACCTATTTCATTAAACAACTTGGTTTTCAACCTACTGATAAAATTAAATTTGCTTATAACTATATGAGATAAACAAAAAATTGCTTTGATGTCTGCCTATTCCACAGTATTATGGGTTTCTCTGTATGACCTATTAAAAATGAATCTTATCAAATTTAATTGTGTTTAGGATTACACAGAGTGCTGGTGATACTCCACTGATGGCTCAGGTATTATTTATATTAGTTTTATCAGTCAATCTACCTAACTATCCTTGAGGGAAGAGAAGGAGCGGTATACTACTGAATAGGAAGAATATTAATACCTATCTATCTAACTATCTAGGTGTTCGGTATTAAACTACCTGAGAGGGAAGGGGAGAGGGGTAGACTACTGCATAGGAAGGATATTAATCAGGTGGAACCTGGTAATATCAGCTTAAACTGTATAAGGTATTATTTTTTCTTCAATACTTAAATAACAAAAATATAACACTTATTTCGTATTCGATTGTTTACATATACTTTTAATCGTTTTAGATGGATTCCTGTAGCTGGACAAGGGCTGGTGTTTGCAACTAATACTGGGCTCCTTAAGATACTTAGATAATTCAATAACAGGGGGATAAACTTCAGGCTGGGATATGAACTTCAAGCAGGGAGATAAACTGCGGTTAAGGAAAAAATCAAGGGTGGTTTGAAAATAAATTTGAATTGTGAGAAGAAACTTGAAAAATGGAGAATAGTTGTTAACCCTTAGAAGCATGAAATAACTTATATTCATCCAGATAAGAAAAAATCACCATGGAGAAGATATTTCCCGAACCGATATTCTGAAACCTCGAAGTCGAAATCCGCAATTGTCACCCTGAAACCATGGATGCTTGGATGGAATATATCTATGAAACCATTAAAGGAATATATCTGAAAGCATAGGAATATATCTATGAAACCATGGAAGGAATATATTTATGAAACCATGGAAGGAATATATCTATGAAACCATGGAAGGAATATATCTATGAAACCATGAAAGAATATTACCTAGGTCTGAACAAATGATAAAACTTATTTTAATAATTACACATTACATTTAGGTTTACTTGGATGTAGTATATGAAAAGTGTCGGTGTTAATACATAGTTCGTAAATATTTAATATATAAACATATTTAAACCTATGAACCCAAATTGGGTCATCCTAAACTACATGTAGTCGCTAATTTCTTAGTATCTGCAAAATAGTCGAGGCTATCTACTCCAGTATATATTTAACAAAATTGTGTTGAATATCTAAAATTGTCCCACCATTATAATTAAGCTAATATTTACATGAAGTTATCTTTTTTAATATTTGTATTTAAGAAATTAGTAATTGGGACGTTGCTAAAGTAGTAAATGTGATAAAATTAATTTTTTAATTAAACATGTCGCAGTTCGGATTGAACCGTAACTTACTAAAATTTGAAGATTTAACCGGTTACCCGGCTTACCTTTACTGAAAATTTGAATTTGGTTAATTTGACAGTTCCCTGTACAAAGTAACTCCTTCTAAACAATTGAAACGTAATTTCATCCTTACATCCGATTACTCTAAATTTTAGTTGGAATAAAACATTTCTAAACAAAATACAAATATTCGATTAAACCAAAGTTTTTTTTTCAACAGAATTGAAAATATTATGTTAAGATGATTGTAGAAAATTAGGAAAATTAGGAAAATGAAACTAGTTAAAAATTTCCGAAAATTACTTGTCCCAATCTATTAAAATTTATTTTTCCTACCTCTTATATATTTAAAACTGAAAAGAGGATTTTCAACTTGAGTAATATATTAAACTTGATTGTACGTAAATCCAGTGCTGCGTACTATACGCATAAGAATCATGTACATAGCTTCCGTTGTAAATTTATTGTATTAATTTGCTTGCTGATATTTAAAAAATTTCCATAAATATTTTATTTTGTACATCCGTAATATTCAGTTAATTTTAAACTTGAAACGAATCAGAAAATTATTCAATAAATGTTCTTTTTTAAAGTCTTGTTTTATAACTCATGCTAGTTTAAAACTTTTCCCAGCTTTATGCCCGAATCACATCAGTACCATTTACACCTATTATCTGAGTAACAACGAGAAATACATTTCCTTTGTTAAATGTAGACAACATCCTTCTTCGTCTCGAAACAGAAATAATTGATATTATATCATATCTGTTCGGTTCCATAGTAGTAAACCTATCGTGTAAGAATTCCCATTATTACACGGTTCAGGAGGAACAATTTTAATATTGTTCCCTTCCTAGCGTTTAAGAATGCTTATTCTTACACTGTAGGTGCAGAAATTTCATTCTTTAACGCCAGACCGTGTAAGAATGGAAATTATTACACGGTCAGAGCGTGAAAGAATGTATATTCTTACACGCTCCGAGCATTAAAGAATGGAAATTATTACACTTCTTGAGGAATATTCATTCTTACACGCTTCTTGTATTGATCTTTTCAACATAGATCAATATTGGTCTTAACTTAATTATTTTGTACTGACAACATGCTCAGGACAAACTCACCTTTTTCTTTTATATTAAGACATGCAGACTTACCTTTTTATACTTTAAAATAACATGCTCACTTACCTTTTTCTTTAATGTTAAAACATGCAAACTTACCTTTTTTACTTTAGTAAAACATGCACACTTACCTTTTTTGTTTTTTGAAGTATTGATATATCTTTATTCAGGAATTTCTATTTAAATCTTAACCTTAGTCCTGACAGAAGCGTGGAACCCCCTGTGTTTAATTAACATTTTCTAACCTTTCCAAAAAATATAAACCATGTACTTAAAGCCTTCCTTTGGACAATTTCATCAAACTACCGAGTCTCAAAGGATACTGCCCGACTGCCTATTTGTTCAATTTGTTTTTGGTTTTTCTTCATTGCAAACAAAGTTTGGTGAGATTTTGCAAATCCCTGCATATTTGGAATAGAATGGTTAGAGCTTTTCAAAAATGGAAAGGTTTGTCATGTCTTCACAATTTCAATTATTTTTTTTTTCACTTTATAAAGTTTTTAAGTACCTCAGCCTGAGTCAGAGATGATGAAGTGAAACCACAAACAAAACCAAAAATGTTAGTTTATAAAAACGTATCATTGAAATACTATTGTCACAACCTTTAGTGGGGTCTTAGAACTCCATACTCCATAGCAATGAAAACAAGCCAGTAAATCTTGCTTAATGAATAAAAGACAAATATCTTAAATCAGTTCTAAAAAAACAGTGTTAGTCAGAACAAGAGCATAGAACTTATTTGCAACCTTTCATAATGTGAACTGTTCCAACTTGAAATAGTTGGATTTTATCAGAATTTTACTATAATTTCTTGGGTATGTGCCCATGGAACCTCACAAATATGATATAATAATAATTTATGAGGATAAAAATGTAATAAAGAATACATCAAGATTATTTCATCTCGTTTAAGAATTTCCATTATTACATTTTTTTCCTCATAAGATTATCATAATATATTGTAATATGACAGTGATCCGTTTTAGAGAGTCGCCTTTTAACTCATGTATTTTAAGTGTTACAACCTATTTACCTAATATAAATTTTAATAAGTGATGGTTTAGTGGGCATCATTCCATCAACGGAAGTTTGTGAAAAAAAAACAAAATTAGTTAAATCTCAAAACGTTGACGAACGGTTGTTTTTAAAAAGTAACAACAAACTCCTTAAAGACGTGCTCTTTGGTCTTGTGTTTCTTGACTGTATGCAAGTGACTTTAAAAAAACTTTTCATTTGGGCGCTTCGCAAACACAAAGTAAACAAAAATGAGGATAAGACGCATATTTTACCGTTCAAACAGGAGGCCAGGGCTGAAAAACCAGGAATGGGGAGGACTTGAAACTCCGATCCACAACTGGAGCATTAGGCCATCCCTACAACTGTTGAGTCGAGTTGAGTCGAGTTGAGTCGAGTTGAGTTGATTTGGGATGTAAATACTAAAGCATGTTGGGGGGTGTCAAATAAGTTTTTTTATAAGGGGCTAAATATCTGCATCATAGAATTTGTTATAGATGTAAATGCATAATGTTATACTCCACATTTTTATGGGTCCTTAAACCTCATGGCTCGGATGTAATTTTGCAGGGTTCATGGTGTCAAAGAACTCCCTCGCCCCTGCTTATGTTTATTTTAAGTATTTAGTAGACTAGATATAGTATTGAAAGGTGCTGAATAGTTAAATGAATAATATAGAAGCTATAAATGTTCATGCATTATTTAATAAATACTTTTTAAATTGCACCCTGCGACCGACGGGGTTCCGACGCTCTAGCACACCCGTACGTAAAGCGATCCGACTAGCTAGCACATTTTTGGAACAGCAGAGAGCCAGCCTGCCTATACGCACATTTTCACTGTATTTGTGCTAATTTTACTATTCACACCACTTGCCTTCAGAACCATTACACGCAAAGAATTTTTCAGCAATTGAGTTTTAACATGAACTGGCTTATTCAAAAATAAGGTTGAAGGTAAGCAATCCTGATATTCATTCATAGTTTTTCACCTTGGCCTCTGTTAAATCCTTCAGAACTATTTTCACTGTATTTAATCCTTCGTGTTAATCGACCAGACTACTGGCTAAAAATATCTAGATACTCTTTGTGGTATCACACCTTGTCATGCTCTGCTTAAGTTTATCGGAACTTCCTACAAGCCTCACATACTCTCGACTCTGATCTATCATCTCGAGTAAATCAGCTCTCTGGATATAGGATACATGGTTCAATCTAAAAAGATTGGCTGTAATTACTTTATTTAATATAAGCAAAATATTTACACATTTAACCATAAATAAAAGAAATATCAAATACTTGTAATTTTAATGGACTGAAAGCTTTTCGATATTTACAAATAAGATCAGTCTCTAGTTTAAACCATAGAAAATACACAAATCGTAATCTGTGATAAATCCTTCACTGATAGTCGCTGTAATAATCCTTCATAACAAGTCATTCTGTAATAAATTCGTTAATGTCAGACACTGTAGCAATCTTTCATAAGTCATTCTGAAATAAATCCTTTAACATAAGACACTGTAATAATCCTTTAAAAGTCATTCTGTAATAAATCCTTTAACATTAGACACTGTAATAATTCTTCATAACAAGTCGTTCTGTTATAAATCCTTCACTGAGAGATACTGTTTCATAATCCTTCATAAGTCGTTTGTTATAAATCCTTCATAACAAGTCATTCTGTAATAAATTGGTTAATGTCAGACACTGTAGCAATCCTTCATAAGTCATTCTGAAATAAATCCTTTAACATTAGACACTGTAATAATCCTTTAAAAGTCATTCTGAAATAAATCCTTTAACATTAGACACTGTAATAATCCTTTTAAAGTCATTCTGTAATAAATCCTTTAACATTAGACACTGTAATAATTCTTCATAACAAGTCGTTCTGTTATAAATCCTTCATAACAAGTCATTCTGTAATAAATTCTTTAATGTCATACACTGTTGCAATCCTTTATAAGTCATTCTGTAGCAATCCTTCATAAGTCATTCTGAAATAAATCCTTTAACATAAGACACTGTAATAATCCTTTTAAAGTTATTCTGTAATAAATCCTTTAAAATTAGACACTAATAATTCTTCATAACAAGTCGTTCAGTTATGAATCCTTCACTGAGAGATACTGTTTCATAATCCTTCATAAGTCGTTTGTTATAAATCCTTCATAACAAGTCATTCCTTAATAAATTCTTTAATGTCATACACTGTTGCAATCCTTCATAAGTCATTCTGTAAAAAATCCTAAACATCAGATACAATAATCCTTTATAAGTCATTCTGTAATAAATCCTTCACTGTATAAACACTGTAATAATCCTTCATAATAAGTCGTTCTCCTATTAACCCTTCACTGAGAGACACTGTATAATAATCCTTCATACCAAGTCATTCAATAGATCCTTTAATATCAGACACTGTAATAATCAGGATTGTTACATTTCAAGATGAGCAATATGAAGCCGTTTTATGAATCAAAACCATGCTTGTCATATTCTTTTATTCTCGTGTCCGTTAAGAATAAATAAACTTAAAAAGTTGATTTTGAAATCTTTTCTACCAAACTGACGTTATCTTCATTGGCGTAAAATTGAAATTTCTTCTATTATTTGTTTCATATTGCAGAGGTACAGGGTGTCCCAAAAACATGGGAATTCAGTGCCGAATTAGTATTATTATGTCTGCTTGAGTTTATTTTATAAAAGGAAAAAAGACTGTAAATATGTGTCTATAATGTCTCCGCAAGATGAACAGTGAAGACGGACAAGTTTACGAAACTTTCAAAGATCACAGCTTTCTCAGTAGGTATCACTATACTAAATCAAAGAATCATTTGATAAGGCGACATCGAATTCTTCACTGAATTCCTATGTTTATTGGGACACCCTGTACTGCGATATTGAATTTCAGGCTTTTTATATATCATTCTGAAGTTTCAAATAAACATTAACTATAGAGACAACTCCTTTCAACAAGTCTTCTCATATTTAGAATAATTAATATTTTTGTAAATTTAAAATGGGAAAATTACATCATGCTGAGCAAAGTAGAACAGAGAGTAGAGCAGAGTAGAGAGCATAGAACAACAGAGAGCAAAGCAGAGCAGAGCAAAGCAAAGCGTAGCCTAGCGTAGCCTAGCGTAGCCTAGCGTAGCCTAGCGTAGCCTAGCGTAGAATATAATAGCGCAGAGTAGAGTAAAGTAGAGTAGAGTAGAGTATAATAGTGGAGAGTAGAGTAAAGTAGAGTAGAGTAAAGTAGAGTAGAGTAGAGTATAATAGTGCAGAGTAGAGTAAAGTAGAGTTGGCCATTATTTCAAAAAAATGTTGCCACCCTTAAACTAAAATTTTTAGATGGGAGCCAAGGAAAAATTGTTTTATAC